CTTTCTCCCTTCCCTCCCCTCCCCTCCCCCCCTCCTTCCTTCCTTCCTTCCCTCCTTCCTTCTTAATTGTCCTGTTCCCCGGGCTGGAGTGCAGCAGCATGATCATAGCTCACTGTAGCCTCTACCTCCTGAGTTCAACTGATCCTGCCACTTCAGCCTCCTGAGTAGCTGGGACTACAAGTATGTGCCACCATGCCTGACTAATTTTTAATTTTTTTGTAGAGATGAGGTCTCACTGTCTCGCCCAGGCTGTACTAGAACTCCTGAGCTCAAGTGATCCTTCTGCCCTGGCCTCCCAAAGTGCTGGGATTACGGGCTTATGCTATCACACCTGGCCCACACCTTTCATTTTTGTTACTCTGTATAGGAAGTGGGTATTTTGGAGAGGAGTGCAGTATGTTTTCCTGATGCAATATTGAGATGCTGGGGAGATCAACCAACGCAAGCTTCTTGAGGAAGTTAGTTCTGTCTCCATCCCCAAACAGCCCCAGTGTGAGGATGGGGTCTGTAAACAGTAGATGCCCAGAGGTCATTTGTCAAATCGATTTGTTCCCATAGTTCGCTACATAGGGAAGGCATTCTTGTCATCGTCATTGTCATTCTCATTTTAAAAGCAAAGAAAGTAAGATTCAGAGGGATTAGGCAAGTCCAGCGACACAGCATGAAGAAGGTAGAACCAAGACCCAAAGGGTGGCCTCTATCTCCACGTCCCGTGCACACCCCACGTTGTACTACCCTGCTGAGAGCCAGCAAGAGGACTCAAACAATGGGTGTGTGTGGATGGTGACTGGAAGGCAGGGGAGACGGAAGTTCCTGGGCTTGCTGAGAACCTAATGACATGTAGTATCTGGGAAAGAACTGGAACTGGGACTCAGCCTGATCTGCACTGACTCCTAAACTCTGCTTCCTGCTGTCTGTGTGGCCGTGGGCTAGACTCTGACCCCCTGGGACTTGGTTTCCTCATCAGTAAAACTGGCATAATAGCGTCTTCATCTTCTGGTATACAGAACATTCTCAATTCATAGTGGTTTATTTTATCAGTTTAACGATTTTTGTTGCTGCTGCTATGCTGCTATTATTATTTGCCTTTTTTTTTTCTTTTTTTTTTGAGACAGAGTCTCGCTCTGTCACCCAGGCTGGAATGCAGTTGTGCTATCTCGGCTCACTGCAACCTCTGCCTCCAGGGTTCAACTGATTCTCCTGCCTCAGCCTCCCGAGTAGCTGGGACTGCAGGTGCCTGCCACCACGCCCAGCTAATTTTTTGTATTTTTAGTAGATACAGGGTTTCACCGTGTTACCCAGGATGGTCTCGATCTCTTGACCTCATGATCTGCCTGACTCGGCCTCCCAAAGGACTGCGAGCCACCACGCCCGGCCACTATTTGCCTTTAAACACATGAAACAAGGAATAGATTTCTAAATTGCATCTTATGTTACAATAAGTGACCATTAGGGTTATTCAGATAATCTGATGTGTTAGACATGGGAACAAAAGTAAGGTTCCTTTTTCTGTAACTGCTATTTTCTATCTTAGAAAAACTGAGGTGACATATTTTCTAGTATTGTTTCTAAAAATGTAAAGCCTGCTTCACTGCACCATGGTTGGTCAGTTCACTTATTTTGTAAGTGTATTGTTCACTTATTTTGTAAGTTAAGACTCAGCAAGGGGGAGAGTCTCCCCCAGCTTTAAAGTCCACCGTTGTTGGTCTGTGCCTTGCATTGCCCATTTCTTCACTGCCTTGCAATTTTTCTGCTGATGCATTTGTCTCCCCTGCTCCATGGAAGAACAAGTCCTGTTCACCATTGTGCCCCCAGCGCCAAGCACAATCCATAGTACATAGCAGGGGAGCTCAGTAATGTTGTTTCTTTTTCTGAATGAATGAATGAAATGCGGTAGGAGTGAAAGGAGGCAAACATAGCACAACATATATTAGGATCAGTTACTCATTTTCTTTTCTAAGAAATGCGGAGGTAGTGCGACCCTGTGTTAATATATAAATAAGAACATGCAGCTTCACGCGTCTCCTCGTTGAGCCCTGAAATAAGTACAAAGGTGGCAGACAAGATCTAGCTGTGTGGGAGATTCCACGGGAGGAGGGGATAGGTTTAATTTGGCCCTTTCAGGATACTGAGTTTATGCCTGCAAGTGTCAGAAGCTACAGATAATCTGCTCCTCTGCAAGGGAAGATGACCTTGAAGATGAGGTTATTGATGTGATTTATTTAAAACTCAGGCATGTTCAAGAGCTACAAGACTGATTGGCTGTGTTAAAATATTCAAATCAAAAGTGCAGCTACTTAGTGTGTGTTGGCAAACATTTTATGTTACAGTTGTAAAAATGATGCATGCTTACTACAGAAACTTTAGAAAGATCAACTGAAAGAAGTGATCCCACCACCCAGAGATAAGAGCTGATAGCATTTTGGTGAATATATTTTTTAAATTTTATATACATGCTAACAATATTTTTACAATGGTTTATACATTTTGCCATAAAACCTGCTTTAGAAAACGTAGCAATAAATAGTGAACATTTCCAGGTCAATGTATCTTCTTGTGTGACCTAATTTTAGTGGCTACTTAGCATTGCTAAGAGGTCCTGATGCTGGTGTACGATTATTTCCAGTCTTGGGCTACTGAGAAAAAAGATGGTTTTTGTAGGTAATATTTGTGTAAAACTGTGATGATGAAGGCCGGGTGTGGTGGCTCCTGCCTGTAATCCCAGCACTTTGGGAGGCCGAGGCGAGTGGGATCACTGAGGTTAGGAGCTTGAGACCAGCCTGGCCAAATATGGTGAAACCCTGTCTTTACTAAAAATACAAAAATTAGCCAGGCATGGTGGTGGGTGCTTGCAATCTCAGCTAGGGAGGCTGAGGCAGGAGAATCGCTTATCACTTGAACCCAGGAGGCAGAGGTTGCAGTGAGCCAAGATCGCACCATTCTACTTCAGCCTGGGCAACAAGAGTGAAACTCTGTCTCAAAAAAACAAAACAAAACAAAAAACAAACCAACCCCCCCCCCCCCAAAAAAAAAAAAAAAAACTATGATTATTTACATGCAATCGGTACTTAGATGTGGGAATGTAGAATCCCAAGTTATATTTAATTTTAAGTCTCATTCTTATTCCCTACTCTCACCAAAGACTTATGGTTTGGAAAACCTTTGCCAGGCCAGTTTGTTAGGTGAAAGATGATATTTTATGCTGTTTGGATTTGCATTTAAAGCCATCTTTGGATGATAATCATTTTCCTTAACACGTTGCAATTCATTTTTGGTGTTTTGTTTTGCTTCACTTATTTTTGAGGTTGGGGATGGTCTTGCTATGTTGCCAACGTTGGTCTCAAATTCCTAGGCTCAAGCAATTCTCTGCCTCAACCTCCCAGGCAGCTGGGACTACAGGTGTGCAACACCACGCTCAGCCGTAATACTTTTTTTTTCTTTTGGAATTTCTGGCTGGTCCACGTGTCTTTTCCTTCTTAATTTGATAGAACTTCTTCTAAATTAGCAATATTATCCTTTTTTTCTGCCATATGTGTGGCAATATATTTTTCCCAACTCGTCATTTGCCTTTTAGTTTTAGTTGATGATGTTTTCTTAGACATAGCTTCTTTGAATTGTTGATGTAGTTTTGCTTAGGGTAAATAGTTTTTCCTCCCACCTGCATTGAGTTAGAAATGGAATGTTTTAAGGATGAATTTGTCATTCTTTGGTGGCAAAACCCACCAAGTCTCCTGTAAAGACAGCTCACCAACGTAAGGTCCAAGCCTGTGCCACATTTTCACCAGCATCACAGTCACCAAATATGTCAACTCTGGCAAGAATAAGCGAAGGAGCCTAACAGGTTTTAAGTGGTTTTGACAGTCTTTTAGCAATCTTTTCTGGCACGCAAGCATCTGCAAATCAGTTACCCCTCCTTTTAATCTCCATCAAGGTCAGCCCTGGTATTTGGCCCTGTTTGGATAAAATCTAGTGCAAGGCACATACATCAGTTAAAATCATGTATGTGCCTTGCCCTAGATTTTATTGGCTAGCACAGTAAAATCTAGGGCAAGGCACATACATGATTTTAAATGATCTAGTAGCCACATTAAAAAAGATTAAGGGCTGGGTGTGGTGGCTCACACCTGTATTCCTAGCACTTTGGCAAGCAGGGGAGGGAGGATCACTTGAGATCAGGAATTCGAGACCAACCTAGCCAATACGGTGAAACCCTATCTCTACTAAAAATACAAAAAATTAGTTAGGCTTGGTGGTGCATGCCTGTAGTCCTAGCTACTCAGGAGGCTGAGGTAGGAGAATTGCTTGAACTCGGAAAGCGGAGGTTGCAGTGAGCCAAGGCTGTGCCATTGCTTTCCAGCCTGGGCATCCTAGTGAGAAAACATTTCGAAAAAAAAAAAAAAAAAGAGAAAGTTATCCAGTGAAAATTTCAGGAAATAGATGAAAACGCTGCCAGGAGCTCAGTTGCATTTTCTAGAACTCTTCGCTTAATTTTATTAAGTTCAACCCTGTGATAAGTGCCGGGAATAAAAAAAATGTGACGTAGTCTCTGCAAGAAGTATATTTCCCTGTGATTAAAGCTGATCATGGGAGCAAATCTTCTGAAACCCTCAGTGACAACCTCTCATTGACGAGTGACTCAAATATTAGTGCAAAGTGGAAGATTCTAAATGAGCAGAGGAAAGGTAGATGGCGTAAAGGTAAGGGAACTGGTGAATTTCAGAAATAGTAAGAGTGAATTCAGCACTCCTAATCATTTTGAATAAAGGTCTGGTTATAGTCCCCCAAATTAATAAGAAACAGGTGAAAAAGGAAAATCCCCAAGAGATTGTAATTAAGGTAGAAACTTACATTAAAGAGCTCATCCTGAAAACAGGTGGGAACCCTTCTAAGGATGAGAACAGCTGGGGGCGAGTTGGTGAAGTTTCTTACTCTAAAATTCTTGTCAACATGAGGATTTCAGCTTCCCCGTACCTGTACCAATAGGTATGTGTTATTTTAAGGGCCAGCGGAGATGACACCCAGGCCCCACTCAGAATGGAGCCCAGGCTGTTGGAACCCACTGCTCAGGACAACTTGCGCGTGTCCATCACGAGACGAGATTGGCTTCTTCAAGAAAAGCAGCAATTACAGGTGAGCAGGTGAAAGATACTCAAGAAATATGGTGGCATTTTTCTTTTCTTTGAGACAAGGTCCTACTCTGTTGCCTAGGTTGGAGGGTGGTGGCGCAGTCAGTTCCTGGGTGATTCTCCCACCTCGGCCTCCCAAGTAGCTGGGACTGCAGGCATGCCCCTCATGCCTGGTTAACTTTGTTTATTTTTAGTAGAGATCAGGTCTTACTATGTTGCTCAAGCTGCTCTTGAACTCCTGGGCTCAAACAATCCTCCTGCCTCAGTTTCCCAAAGTGCTGGGATTACAGGCATGAGTCACCTTGCCCAGCCGGCATTTTTCTTATCCATTTAAACCAAATGCAGCCAAATGGGGTTTTGCTTTGCTCAAGTGTGGCAATTAGAGCGTTGGCTGTCAAGCCAGGGAGTACAAAACTGAGAGATGGTGGGAATGACTAGAGGGCTTGTAGGAATCTCATTACAAATGAGGGTTGAAAGCTCAGCAGCGTTTGAGCCTGTTTTCGATATTCCTCATTACCTTTTGAATATGCTTTTCTTGTCTGCCAGGCCAGTTTGCCACTTCTTATCATTTTGACCTTTAGAAGCTTCCTTTGAAAGGCAGAAAGTCATCTGTGCTGTGAAAATCCTTTATGGAAATCCCTATCATGGTAGATGGTGAACTGCAGTTGTTAAGAGAGAGAGTTGTAAGTCCAGAGGAGTGAGGCAGGCACACCTGGAATGATGGGACGGCTGCGTGGAAGCCCAGGGTTGGCCGCAAACAGTGCATCAAAGTTGGTTAAGAATCATCGAAGCCGGGCGTGGTGGCTCACGCCTGTAATCCTAGCACTTTGGGAGGCTGAGGTGGGTGGATCACCTGAGGTCAGGAGTTCAAGACCAGCCTGGCCATCATGGTGAAACCCCATCTTAAAAAAAAAAAAAAAAAATTGCGATTCTCGAGCCAGGCGCGGTGGCTCACGCCTGTAATCCCAGCACTTTGGGAGGCCGAGGCGGGTGGATCACGAGGTCAAGAGATCGAGACCATCCTGGTCAACATGGTGAAACCCCGTCTCTACTAAAACTACAAAAAATTAGCTGGGCATGGTGGCGCGTGCCTGTAATCCCCACTACTCAGGAGGCTGAGGCGGGAGAATTGCCTGAACCCAGGAGGCGGAGGTTGCGGTGAGCCAAGATTGCGCCATTGCACTCCAGCCTGGGTAACAAGAGCAAAACTCCATCTCAAAAAAAAAAAAAAAGAATCATTGAGGGGCTACAGATCTGGGTGCAGCGCCGAGTTAAAGCCAGAGCTGTGGAAGTTGACAGGGCACTCCAGAGGCAGGGAATCTTGAAACAGGGTCTGTGCCTGCTTGGGCCTGGAGCAGTGAAGCATGGGTGGGGAGCAATGAGGACACATTGATTAGAAGTAACGTGACTTCATGGGAAGAGCATAGATCTTCTGTCCAAGTCTAAATCCTGGCGTAGGCTCGAGGCTTCCCCCTCTTTGCTCCCACCATAGAGTGTTTTTGTTATCTGAATTTGCCCCATTTAGGTCACTACAAGAATAAGGTGGCAAAGAAAGGCAAAAGTCAGGGCAATTTATTTGAAACGATTTCCCCATAACAGCACTCACATAGTCAATGTGCATCATTATCATGTTTGGATAGCTGAAAATGTGAAATCGGTTTTTTGGTTTTTAATAACATTTGCCAATTAAAGGTCTACACAGTTCCTGAGAATGTCAGAGTGTAGAGAATATAATTTTAGCCCCAGGCACTTAGTGTTTGAAGCACTCTGGGGAAAGGTACTTGAATATTCATTTATTCAACAGGCATTTATTGAGGGTTCACTAAGTGCCACAGACTGTTTGAAATGCTTGGGATTCTTGGGGAGCTTTTGAGCTATTGGGGGTGAGAATGGGGAGATAGACAATAAGTGATAAACATAATAAATACCTCAATTAGCTTTCTGGTATGTTGTAGGGTGATAAGAGCTACGCGGACTAGGGTGACGTGAAGGACAGGGTCTACTCATTGAGAAGTGAGATCGAATCCAACCCTTGAAAGAGGAGAGGGAGTAGGTCTTGCAGAAATTTCTACAAGAGCATCCTGGGCAGGGGGACACCATGAAGGCTTAGAGTGGGAGTGGGCCTCTTGTGTTCAGAGGGCAGCTGGAGGCCCATGTGGCTGGAGCAGTGTAAATTTGGGGAGAAAGTCAGAGATTAAAGGGCCTGGAAAGGATTTGGATTTTTCTCAGGTTGCAACAGGGAACCACTGGATGGTGTTAAGCAGTGAAGTGACAGGATCCGACCACATTGTCAATAATTTGACTACTGTATTAGGAATAGGATATAAGACAAGATGGAAAACAGTATGCAGCTTCCTGAAAAAATTAAAAGTTGGGCCAGGTGCGGTGGCTTACGCCTGTAATCCCAGCACTTTGGGTGGCTGAGGTGGGCAAATCACCCGAGGTCATGAGTTCAAGACCAGCCTGGCAAACATAGTAAAACCCCATCTCTACTAAAAATACAAAAATTAGCTGGGTGTGGTAGCGGGTCCCTGTAATCCCAGCTATCGGGAGGCTGAGACAGGAGAATCACTTGAACCTGGAAGGCAGAGGTTGCAGAGAGCCAACTGCACTCCCGCCTGGGCAACAAAGAGCAAAACTCCGTCTCAAAAAGAAAAAAAAAATTTAAAAGTTGATTTGCTGTGTGGTCCAGCCACCCCATTCTGGGTATATATATATATATATATGTCTCCAAAAAATTGAATGCAGAGATTCAAAGAGATATTTATATACCCATGCTCATAGCAGTATAGTTCACAATAGCCAAAAGCTGATAACAAGTCAAACGCTCATCAACAGATAACTGATAAAATGTGTATATACATGTAATGGAATATTACTAAGTCTTAAAAAGGAAGGAAGTTCTGACACACAGTACAGCATGGATGAACCTCGAGCACATTATGCTAAGTGAAATAAACCGGTTGCAAAAGGATGAATGTTGTATGATTCCACTTGGGTGAGCTACCTAGAGGAGTTAAATTCATAGAGAAAGTAGAATGGTGATTCCTAGGGACTTGGAGGAAAAGAGAATGGGGAATTAGTTTTTATTGGGTACAGAGTGTCAGTTTTGCAAGATGAAAAGAGTTCTATGGATGGATGGCAGTGATGGTTGTACAGCAATGTGAATGTACTTAATGCCACTGAACTCTACACTTAAAAATGCTCAAGATGGTGAATTTTATGCTATGTGTATTTTACCAGTTAAAAAAACTAAAAGAAAAAAGAGTAGGGTAGAGAAGTCAAAGGTGGACGTAGGGAGGTTAGTTGAGAGACTTTGTCAGTAATGGTGTAATCTTGGAGCAATCGGGGACACTGAGGCATTACCTTTTTCTAGAAGGTCTTGTTGGTAGACATTTTTTAGTAACTCCCCATTCCTCTCCCCACTCCCATAATTGAAGTGGATTCAGGAGGTAGTGAAGCAGGAGCAGCCCCAAACAAACCTCTTGATCAGGGAACAGCGAAGGAAGTGGTGATTTATTTGGCCGGGAGCTGCGGCAGGTGAAAATACCTTAACAGCTGAGCTCCCCAACAAAGAAAATCCTTGTCCTTTTAAAGGCTTACAATTCAGAAATTATATGTGAAAGGGTCTTGATCCGTGAGGTAGGCATGGGGTACATGACTAGGTGGGGGTTTGATCATGTTTAAGCAAAAACAATGCCTTCCGGAAAGATTCCTCCACACCCTGCCTGTGATCTATAGGAGTGCGATTAAGCGTGGTGCCCCGGTCTGCCAGCCTTTACTTCTCCTATTGAAATGCAATGTAGAAGTCTAGGGGGAAGTGGTCTTTGAAGCTTAGGAGGGTTAAGGGTCTCCTTCCTCAGTAGAAGTTGTAGGTGATGTACCTTGGGGCTGAGAGAACGTGAATAAGAAGTGAGGAGACACCCAGGGTTAGATTTGAGCTGTTAGAAGCACAAAACATGAGAGTATGTTAATGAAGAGTCTTATTTTTGATTCAGAATCATATGGGCAGTGAGATGATGATCTGCTATGACGCTGTGCACACAGTGGGTGTTTGTTACCTGCTGCTTGTTTAGTTTGTTGACCCTAAGATTAGATATTTTATGGGTTATTTGGATTTCAGTTTGCTATATTTGTAGAAATTACATTTATTTGTATTTTCATGATCTTTATACTGCATGGCACTATCTGCAGCATCTCATTCTTTTTTCAGTCCTATGGACTTAAGAAGCCATGATTTTTTTAACTTTTTCTTTATTCTGAATTCTTGTGTTTGGGGACAGACCAACAAATGGTCACTTGCGTTTCTTGTTTTGGTCTGTGGCTGGGGTTACCTGCTTAGCTGAGACCTCAGGTACGTGACGCTCCCTGCCCCATGTCCTAACTCCCCCATCCGAAATGAAGTAAGTCATTTGTATATCTGCTGGGTTCTTCCAAGTCAAATTCTTGGCTCACCCCCCATAGTTATTTAATGCTCGGGCGGGAATGTTTTTCCTTATGCCAACTCATTAGAAATATAAAGCTGGCATGATTTTTCCAGTTCAGCAAACTCCAAAAATCTGCCTGCCTCAGAAGGGGAGCTTCGTGGTTCTGGTGCATATGGCCAATTCTCATTTAAATGAGTCATTATCCTCAGAGCAGTTTGCCATGAGCAAGGTTAATTTATAAAATCTGGTCTCCTCATTCTCTACAGAAAGAAATTGAAGCTCTCCAAGCAAGGATGTCTGTGCTGGAAGCCAAAGATCAACAGCTGAGAAGGGAAATCGAGGAGCAAGAGCAGCAACTCCGGTGGCAGGGCTGTGACCTGACCCCGCTGGTGGGCCGGCTGCCCCTGGGTCAGCTGCAGGAGGTCAGCAAGGCCTTGCGGGACACCCTGGCCTCAGCCGGTCAGATTCCCTTCCATGCAGAGCCACCAGAAACCATAAGGAGGTACTGGTGATTCCCTAATTGCTTTTGGGTCGCTCACCTCTTTGACCTGTTCATTGGAATGATTTTGTCTGCTGTCTTTCATCTCTAAACATTTCCTGAGCAGTCTGTATTTTTCAGTGAAAGCACCATTAGTGTTTCGGGTGGGAAAATTCTTCACTGTATAGGGCAGTCCTGAGCATTGCAAGTTATTTCACATCCTGGCCACTCAACCCACTAAATGCTCCTCCCCATTCCAATACGCACCCTCCCCATTTACAAACACCCTCAGGGAACCTTCTCTCCCTTTGAGAACTGTTGGAGTTCAGTTGGTTAGAGATCCTGATGTAAACTTTTGCTGAGGACGGTCATCCGGGGACGGGTGAACTATGCCTCTCACTAAGGGAGGAGATGAGCCATTGAGAGAGGGACACCCAATAACAAAGTTTCCATCTGGAAGAACGGATTATTATTGTTATTGATAGCTAAAATGTATTAGGTGCTTATCATGTACCCGGCACTGTGGTAAGCTGACTCTATGAGTTACTTCCCTTGTTATGTTCATTTTATGGGTGACAAAAAAAGTTTAAGAAGGTTACAATTTGCCCAAAGTCATAATTAATGAGAGAAAAGTGATACTTAACACGCCTGTTCATTAATTCAGAAGCCTAGTCTTCTCCATTCTACTATGGAGAGAGAACCTCCCCTGTATTCTGTATCGTGGAATGTCTATAAGATACACATCTACATTTTGCCCTTCATTTTTTTTTTTTTTTTAAGAGACAGGGTCTTGCTTTGTTGCCCAGGCTGGAGCACAGTGATGCAATCATGGCTCACTGTAGCCTTAGATTCCTGGGTTTAAGTGATCCTCTCTGCCTCAGCCTCTGGACCACAGGCTTGAGCCTTCACATATGGCTATTTTTAAAAAAGGTTTTTTTTTTTTTTTGCAGAAATGGAGTTGCTCTATATTGCCCATGCTGCTCTTGAACTCCTGGGCTGAAGCGATCCTCCCTGCCTCAGCCTCTGGAGGAGCTGGGACCTCAGGCTTGGGCCACCACAGCTGGCTATTTTTTTGTTTTTATTTTTTTTTGTAGAGATAAAGTCTTTCTATGTTACCCAGGTTGCTTTTGAACTCCTGGGCTCAAGTGATTCTCCTGCCTTAGCCTCCTGAAGTGCTGGGATTACAGGTTTTAGCCACTGCATCCAGCCTTTCTTGTCCTTCACGAGCTCATACTCTTATTTCTGAGACAGACAGACTCACACTTACACATGCTGGACAGAAAAGTGAGTTTGCACCCAAATGGATCTGCAGATGAGCAGTAAGGACTGCACGTGCTACATGGGTAGAGCCAGGAGTGGGAGCAATGGTCAGTGCAGCTACTGTGCTAAAGAAAACACTTCCTACAACTCACCACCTGTAGTGGCTGAGAATACGGACTCTGCTTCTTCATTATCTGGGGTTGAAGGCTGACTCCTTACTCAACCCCTTATTGGCTAATTTGAGGGAAGGGGTGATGATAATGATTCCTACCTTTTAGAGCTATTACATGGATGAACCAAGTAAATACATAGAAAACTCTCAGCAGAGCCTGGAAGGTAGTAAGCACTTTATTATGATGCTTCCAGTTGCTGTCTTTACAATGGAAATTTCAGTCTCCTGAAGGCCTTCAAACTGCCCGTCCAAATGTATCTTAGCATACTTAGTAAATGACTCTTCTGTCTTCCACATGTATTACATTCTGTCCAGTCTATAAAAGCAAGCAGCACATGCTATTCTAGGGAGTTACTTCAGATCTCCTCCCATTCCCCTTCTATCCCGAATATTTCCAGGCAGAACTCTAAACCCATGGCTCATGCCCATGGAGAAGGGGAAGAGATTTGGATTGTTGTCGGTTTTCATCCAAATGAAACAGGTCCCTTGAATACAGCCTTGTTCTCTCCCACGTGCACTTTCAGAACCATTCTCAACCTATTGCCTTGGGGCTGCAGGTAGGCTGTTATGTTATTCTCACTTTGCAAGCAAGGAAACAAAAACTCAGAAAGTTTCCCTGATGATGTAGCTAGTAAGAGACCATCTTGTTTACAACTATGGCTGTCTTTGGGCCTGAACCTGTAAAAGATGGTTTCCTTCTAGAGAGCCAAGGAAGCTACTTCGATGACTAATTCTCTTTCCTCATCTAAAATTAGGAGCTCCACAATATGGTTGGCTGGTAGAACTGGGCCCAGGACTTGGTCTGGTTTTCTACCCATGTCCTCTGGCTTGCCTTTCCCTCAGGATGAGTCACAGAGAAGGCACGAATGTGTGACTTTTACACAGTAATCCAGTGCTCTGGTCAATTGGTTAAACTTTTGAGAGGCATTTCAAAAGTTGTAGCTTTCTGATTTTATGATGCCATTAGGGAAATAACATATGAGGACGGTCTTGAACATGGGGCACTGCTGTCTGTGGGGTCCTCTGGGGAGAATCCATCATCCTCCAATCCAAATATTCCCGCTGAGGTTACAGAGGTCAGGTCAAGAATAGGCTGCCGTGTTTTTGGGCTAAGGTGACTATAGGAAAAGGTGTTTCAGAAACCAGGAAGGCTTCATGTAGGAGGAGATCTTGGGAATGGAAGGATGAGTTTGGGAGCAGTGGCTCATGCCTATAATCCCAGCACTTTGGGAGGCCAAGGCGGGAAGATTGCTTGAGCCCAGGAATTTGAAACAAGTCTCTACAAAAATAAAAAAATAAAGTAGAAAAATTAGCCGGGCATGATCGAGAGCACTTGTAGTCCTAGCTACTCAGGAGGCAGAGGCAGGAAGGTTGCTTGAGCCCAGGAGTTTGAGGTTACGGTGAGCTATGATTGTGCCACTGTAGTCCAGCCAGGGCAACAGAGCAAGACCCCATCTCAAAGACAAAAAAAGCAATATAAGGACGAAGAGTTGCATGGGAGGGTAGGAATAAACCAGAGCAATAAAAAGGTATAAAAACCTGGGCACTTGAATGACTAGTTAATAACATGACCTTTGGAACACTCATGGCGAGCAGAGGCCATCAGCACTGACTGGAGTTTTGTGCAGCTAGAGTGTGGCCACCCTGAGACATCCTCATTATCTGGATGATGCTCAAGAGGTGACCCTTGGCATCAATCTAATTTACTTTGAGGTGCAGGGAGGGACCACCCCATCTGGAGGGCAGTTGGGGCTATGTAGGTGCACACTTTGATTGGTTAGCTTCCTTTCTTCCACCGTAGGGAGGTGAGGCATCAGACTGCTCCCTGCCATAACCATCAACTGGAAAAACCCATCATCAACATGTGGGCTTTCCATTTGAGAAGGAAGAGACGTGTTTTCCAAGCTGATGGGCTGCAGCATGGATCTGCAGAAACAGAACATTTGAAAGAAGCCAATGGAAAGCCAGGTGGTTTAACACATCAGAGAGATTGCTTGGTCCAGTATTTTTATCTAATTGGACATGATCCTGTTAATCTAATTTTTGCTATGAAGTATTGGTAGTCTTTTAGAAAATGCTGACGTAGGGAGAATATCCTGTAGGTATATTCAGCAAAATGAACCCATCTTATATGCATCAATAGCTGCCTTTGTTGTTCATGAGAATAGGCTCTTCTTAGGCCAGATGGAGAGAGCCAGACAAATTGTGAAATAGGAAAATATTGAAGTGTTATAAAGAGAAGTTACAGAGACTAGTATTGTCACAAAACCTGGAGAAAGAGATCACTCAACATCATGACTGTTATCATCATCTGTGAGGATTTTCATAGAGGCCAGCTACAAACTCAGGGTGCCGTCTGTTTCTGATTTACTCAACTTTCTAACATGCAATTGTAAAGGGAAGGACATGCTTTCTTCTCTGGACAACTACCCGTGAACTTGAAAAGAAACTTCCTAATAGCACATGGCATTTCTGGATGTATCACTGGGGGAGACTCCCGTGCTTGCATGGAGGCCATGATTTCTGACTGTAGCTTGTTGGGAACCCCCTGGCCAATGTCAGAGTTGGGTTGAAAGTAGAGGGCATGTGCTGGGGTCAAGGACACCCCATGATTTTTGGTTTGGGTATGATAATAGAAACCAAAGAAACCATTTGAATTTTCCAATATCTGTGTTCTGGATCAAATAATTTAGCAGGAGGAGATGAAGTGTTATCACCCCAGAGACATCATAGCTGCCTTTTGAGTAGAGCCAACAAAAATGGTTTTCTTCCAGTGAACAAAAGGAGAACGCTTTTTGAGTGCTGGAGAATCAGGAGGTCCACAGTATGGAAGCTGACAGAGCAGGGGTACGGGAAAGGACAGGAACCACTTAAAAGATGTGTTCATTTGAATTTCTCTCATCCCTGGGATTTCAACCCCTCTGCTTTAAAGTAAGCTCCTTATTTTCTCCTGCAAGTCTTCCTTTAATGTGAGGGTCTTAGAAGAACTGCTTTTCTCCAGTGAGCTTGGTTCTCTTCCCACATGAAACCCATCGTCCTTGGTCCACCCATGCTGACTTCACTCCCATTCTCTGTAATGGGATTGTGATGTGGCAGTGGGGGAGGGAGGAGAGGGAAAAGATGTGGGGACACAGGGAGGAGGTGACGTTGTCCAGGGTTTTCTTTGGATCACAGTCCCTCCATGTGTGGCATGAGGTTCCATCTATTTATTTGGCGTAAATTGAGGAGAATGGTGATTTGCAGCTCATCTCTCTCCAGGGCCGTTAGCTCAGCCTTCCCTGGCTTGTTGGTTTTATGTGTCTGGAAAACCAGGGGAGGGCAGCCTGTGACCTTGTGTAGCATGCATATGGCTAACTGCAAAGTGAGGGAGGAATCATTATAGTAATAACCACAGTGATGACGTGGAGGGCTGCCTAGGATGCTTTCTAATGTTCTTTAGAAATGCTTGGCTGGCTTGTATTCATCTGGGTTGAGTTCTTCGTTCCTCAGCTCCTGGGATTTTTTGTGCTTCACGTGAAATGTGTTCTGGCAGCTCATGGACGAATTGTCTCTGTTTGTGCATTTGGAAGAAACATGTCACATCTTTTTACAA